GCAGAATTCATGATAGGATGATAGTGTCAAATGTCTACTTAAGTTCTTATCTTTTGCCAGAAAATGATCAGATTATTTTTTATTTCCATAAGCATTACCCAGTGATGCTGCTAGATGTAATATAGGCTAGAGGTATAATAAAGACTTATTAAAATCCCTGTATGTCACACATGTGTTCTGTGTCTCTTTTCTCTTGTTTAACTTCTACTTGAAACAGCTGAGAATAGCCATCTGACAAGGTGATGACATCACTGCCTGAATGATGCCAGTCTTTAAAAGGCAATCTGGCTCCAAAGAGACAGCAGTAGACTTGATGATTCAACATCATAGTCAATGAGTGAGTAGACGTGTGCTAGCAAGCAGTTTGGATCAGGAAGTTGAACAAGAATTGGTGACATGGAAAGTTGTGCTGTACAATAGTCCTCCCACTGATTATCTGAATTCACAGCCTGAGAGGTACAGTTGAACCATTGCTAATCTTAGATGACCTGCTGGTATCTGCAACTTCTAGATCTTCAGACATCTGTGATCTTTCTGGAAAAGTGAATCTGGTCCCCACAGGCAGGTTGAAATAGAGACTTGCCCACAAATGCTTTCTTGGCATATATGTTCTTCACATTAAAAGGAAAAGGCAGCTAGAATAACATAATCTACATAGAGCATTAGAGATTAAGAGTAGGGTGAAGGTAGAATAGAACAGAACAGAATAGAATAGAATTCTTTATCGGCCAAGTGTGGTTGGACACACAAGTAATTTGTCTTGGTGTAAATATTCTCAATATACATAAAGAAAAGGTACATTCCTTAAGAATCAAGAATCATAACGTACAACACTTAATGATAGTCATAGGGTACAATCAACAATCAAATCATACTAGGAAACAGTTAAGTGGGAGGGGATGGGTGATAAGGAGTGGTGAGAAGATTAACAGTAATAGTAGTGTACACTTTTTAAATAGTTGAACAGTGTTGAGGGAATTATTTGTTTAGCAGAGTGATGGCTTTCAGGGGAAAACTGTTCTTGTGTCTAGTTATTCTGGTGTGTAGTGCTCTATAGCATCGTTTTGAGGGGTTGAAACAGTTTATGTCTGGGATGTAAGGGGTCTGTAAATATTTTCACAGCCCTCTTTGACTCGTGCAGTATACAGGTCCTCTTTGACTCGTGCAGTATACAGGTCCTCAACTGAAGGCAGGTGGGTAGTAATTGTTTTTTCTGCAGTCCTAATTATCCTCTGAAGTCTGTGTCTGTCTTGTTTGGTTGCAGAGCCAAATCAGAGAGTTATAGAAGTGCAGATGACAGGCTCAATAATTCCTCTGTAGAACTGAATCACCAGCTCTTTGGGCAGTTTGAGCTTTCTGAGTTGGTGCAGAAAGAACATTCTTTGTTGTACTTTTTTGATGATGTTTTTGATGTTAGGTGTCCATTTTAGGTCATGTGATATAGTAGAACCTAGAAATTTGAAGGTCTCTACTGTTGATACTGTGTTGTCTAGTATTGTAAGAGGCGGTAGTATAGAGGGGTTTCTTCTAAAGTCTACCACCATTTCTATGGTTTTGAGTGTGTTCAGTTCCAGATTGTTCTGGTTACACCACGAGGCAAGTTGTATAACCTCCTGTCTGTATGCAGATTCATCGTTGTCTCGAATGAGACCAATCACTGTTGTGTCATCAGCAAACTTCAGTATTTTAACAGATGGATTGTTTGAGATGCAGTCATTGGTATATAGGGAGAAGTGGAGATAGCACACAGCCTTGGTGGGGCCCTGTGCTGATTGTACAGGTATCGGATGTGATTCCAGCTAGCTTCACCTGCTGCTTCCTGTCTGTTAGGAATCTCACTTTGCTTTCTGGTAAATCAATGCTTAGTGCCAAACTGCATAGTCAAAAAACATTTTATAAGTAGTACAGATCTGCAAAACAGCATGGCCTGCTTCCAGATTTTCTGTTTTCTTCCTGGAATGTGCTGACCTGAGCATTCCAAGAGCAGCTCATCCATTTCAAAAAGTAAATTTTGCAGAACAAGAAATGATTATGGTGGTCCATAGAAAATCCACCTGTGAAACAGGCTTATTGTGTATTTCTCATTCATTTTTAGCTTGGCCTAGCTGCTTAGCATAAGGGATCCCTAGCTGACAAAACATCACAGCCACCATAACAAAACAATTGTGTTTAAGAAGTCATTTGCTGTATTTTAAGAGAAGGTGGTAAGTTACTAAAATTGTTTGTACTTGTTGTGAACAATGGTGGAAATTATACATACATTAATTACATACAATATTTTTATTTTTTCTACTCTTTTTTCTCCTGCACTTTCTAATTTTTCTTTTTAATTTGTAAGCTTTCTATTAGTTTGTGTCTTTTTAATTGTAACATCTAAATTCATTGTAAAAAACAAAGTAGAGCAACCTTCCAAAAAAACTGAACAGTAATGGCGAAAAGAAAATTGAAAAGAAAGCTCAAAGCAGGTCAATTCCTACACAATGCTTAGACATTATTCCAAAGTACAATACTAGAATCTCACCTCAAATATATACTGGCAAAATATGCAAAGAACACCAGCTTGGCTCCTATAGAACCAAGAACTTCTACTGAAGTCAAGAAGGATTCATTTGAAAAATGTAATCCATCCACAAATGAAAAGAACACAACCACCACAAAAATAATAAATGCAGCGGTCAGTGAAATATGTTTCTCCTTAAAAGACTCAAGAATGCATGGCAAAATATACAGTATTAAGGCAAACAACAACAAAATCTTCACACAGGGAACTTGGGCCATGAGAAGATGGAAGTCATTAAAGGCTCAATCCAACAGGACTCATCCTCTGTTCTTCATTCATCTTACGAAAGCACCAATAAGCCTGTTCTAGAAGAAAAACTGGAACATTCCAGCAATAAACTGCATTATTTTTCATAAAACGGATAAATGGGCCAGCCCTTCCTATGGCAATAGTTTGTGTGAATGAGGACATATACCAAAATGTTGTTTAAAAGGTTATAAAAAATGAATGATGTAAAAGGATCATGTCATAGCCACTCCTCATGATAAACCCCCTTCTCATGAAGGAATCTCTCCACCAGCCTGGTGGAAATGCAGAGAGAATTTGTTGGTCATTCGTGACATTCAACGCCCGACAACATCCTGTTGTGGTTTGCAGACAAAGGGCCTAGCATCTACTTAAATGCACTTGCATGCTGCAAGCATCATCTGATCATTACTTTTTAAAGACATCTGCATGGGTGGGTGGCAGGTGCATTGCTCTTCCTGTCCTAGCTCAAGCAATTATGGGGGCAGCAGGAAGCTTGTGGCTGATGCTACTGAGCAGAAGGCACCGAGGCTGCCTGAACCTGCGGAAATAGCAGAGTAGAGCAAATGCAAACAGGCGTGCAGTCTGCTTGCTTGTGTCCTGTAGATTTCCACCATTTTGTGATCATCCTCTGAATATACAACTCCGAACAACCATGTTTTTCTACCTGAGAAACTGGAAACATATTAAGATTGCCATCATTAGCATTCCCTTTGGCCAGGGAATTCTGACAAATATAGTCCCAATGGAGTTGGAGGGAAAGTACGTTCAGAGTTTACAGGTCATCCTTTCTACCCAGGATACAGATAAGCCAGAGTCTCTCCCATCCTGGATCCATCCATTTGATAATTTTCCGTTCAGCACCTCATTTTGAGTTGCATTTCTTCTATTCCACCTTCCAGGTCATTTTTAATGTGTTGAGCAGCATAGAGCTGAGTATGGAGCCCAGGGGTAACCTCAGTACTTACTTCCCTGCGGATGCAGAATCACCTGTGAACGTAGCATCCTTTGGATGTGGTTGCTCAAAGGATTGGAAATCATGAGATTGCAGTACCTTTTACTCACATGCAATTGTCATGAAAGACCCTTTCATTGTTTTACAAAGATCAAGGTATGCTTCATCCACAGCCCACAACAGCCCCACCATCATTCCCTCATAAAAAGAGATACTGTAAATCTAATACAATTTGTTCTTAACATGCTCATTCTGCTTCCTAACAATAGTGGCATTTATTTTCTAAGTGCTTTTTGAACATGCTGCTTAACAAACCTGTTCTAGTACTTTCTCCAGCACAGAAATAAATTGATATTGGATTTCTTAGGTCATGCTCCTTCAGCTGGAATATTTGGATGAAATTTGTTCTTCTGGCGCCTCGGCAATTCTCTGAGTTTTCAAATATAGTTATCGGTTTTGGATGACTTGTGAGAGTCACTTCAAAGTTCTGGGACGTAATTTGTTAGGTTGTGAAGACTCAGAGTCACCAAAGTTAGCAAGGTAGGTTTTGAGTATTATTATATATCTCCAAACCAATTTCAGATGGTTGGAGGATCTGTCCAGATCCTCAAATATGTTACTCAGTTCAGTGGCATAGGTCATCTAATATCTTGATACTTTTCTTTCAAGATGCCTACAAGAACTAGCAATGTTTATTGAGATGCCTTCTTTCTTCTTGGTGTCTTCCTTATATCTTCTCTATTCCTGGACAATTTCCAGAGCCATGTCCTGCTCCGATGTTATTTCTGTTAGTCTTCAGGAAAGATCCTCTTTGTCTTCATTACTTTCAATTATGACCTTAAGCTGGCCTTCATTGTTTCAACCTTTTTTCCAGGAGAAAATTTATATATAAGTACCATCTCCCCTCGTGCACAGTGTAAGAACATTTCCAGCCATCATGTGAAATTCAGCACATCTGAAAGGTGGCAGGTTGGGAGAAATCTTCTCCCCTTCTTCTCTCTCCCTTTCCCCCAATTAAGGCACATCTGAATTTTGTTTTATTTTATTTTGGAAGACTTCACGAAGGAAAATAGGATGTTCTGCTGCTCCCCCAATACGTTTTGGGTAGTTTAGATGGACAAGCTAGACAGATCAGTCTGCGATATGGTGCTGAGCAAAAATGTACAGCAAAACCCCATCTCAGGGTGAGGAAGACAGACAGGAAGCCCTCCCTAACCCCGTGCTTTGAAGAGTTTTGTTTTCTCTCTCCTTCTCTCTTCAAGACTCAGCGCAGCTCAGCAGAGAGACAACTGCATCGCTTTGGATGATGGTAAGGGAACCAACGATCCAATGGGGCAGGAAAAGAGAATGAATATGGAACTGGTGCATAGCTTAGTCTAGCAGAGGGATGTATTAATAGCCCAGATTTTAAAATAAAACTATTGTTTAAAATTACAATGTAACTGGAATCATTGGGCCAGAAATGGTGATTGGTTAAGGTGCCGACTGCCGAGTTCTCCGTACTTTCCCAGGACAATCCGTTCCCAACTTAGTTCATTTGCTTCCCAATAGCAAGTCCCAGATTTCTCTGGTTAAGAAAAGCCACAGTGTGGAACATGGTGTAGAAGAGTAGCTTTTTGCACAAGTTAGTTTTTAACATCTTGCATGGGTGGGGTGGAGAGAGGAAATGCTTGTCCCTGTCTAGCGTGATGAAAAGCCATAAACACCACATTTTCTACATTCCTGCTTTTGAAATACACAGAAGCCACCTACATTCCATCCCTTTTCCTTTGGGGTGGTTAACTCAGACATTGTTGCTTCGGAATGGTTCCTGTCCCACTGCTTAAATAAGTCCATTGCAGACCATTTGTAAACCACTGAAAATAGACGTTTTGTTCTTCAGAGTAAAAAGGCGATTTTGTTTCTGTACCAAGTAACTAAGACTGCATGCATTAAGAAGACGGGTTAAATTTTTCTTGTTACATGGCTCTTCGTGAGCTACGTTGTGTAGCTAGGTTTTTCTGGGTAAGCCATGTCCACTTATTAAAAGAACAAGAGAACTGTTCTTTTACAACCATGATTTTCACCCTACTCTGTGTTTAGAAAATGTTGGGTCCTGTCGTTCATTTGTTGCCTTGTCCATTATCTAGAAATGCACAGGTAATTTGGAGCATGCATGTTTTGTGAATTTCATCTCCAATCAATATAACTAGCATGTGAAGTTGAAGCTCATCTAGATCAAGAGTTGCCATTTGCTTCTCCTGTAGTAGTTTCTTCTCTTGACTAGGTTTTATAAAAGTGAGAAGGGAACTATATGGGAAACTGATTACAAATACGAGTCATTTTATATCTCTGCTCCTTGAATTTCAAGATATTTCTTTCAAAGAAGAGTTTTAAGATTGCATCCTAAGGGATTAACTGGTACAGATAGTCCTTGACTTATGACCACAATTGAGCTGAAAATTTATGTTGCTAAGTGAGAAATTTGTTAAGTGAAATTTGTTATCCCATTTTATGACTTTTCCCCCCATGTTTGTTAAGTGAATTGCTTCAGTTGTTAAATTATTAACACAGTTGCTAAGTGGATTCGGCTTCCCATTGACTTTGTTGTCAGCAGGTCACAAAAGAGGCTTACATGACCAGGACACTGCAACCATTATAAATAGGAACCACTTGTCAAGCATCCAAATGTAGATCAAAATTTTCAAAATTCAAAATTTTCTGTTGACTAGGTTTTATAATTCATTTTTTTTTTACTACCGGTTCTGTGGGCATGGCTTGGTGGGCGTGGCATGGCTTGGTGGGCATGGCTTGGTGGGCGTGGCAGGGGAAGGATATTGTAAAAACCCCATTCCCTCCCCACCCCACTAACCTGCTTTCCAGCTCCGTTCTCCTGTGCAGGGCAACCAAAGAAGACCCAGCCAATCAACTGGGACTCGGGAGGCAGAGAATAGATGGGGGTGGGGCCAGTCAGAGGTGGTATTTGCCGGTTCTCCGAACTACTCAAAATTTCTGCTACCGGTTCTCCAGAACTGGTCAGAACCTGCTGAATACTACCTCTGGATCACGTGACTATGGGGTTGCCGCCACAGTCATGTGAAAAATGGTCATAAGTCACTTTTTTCAGGGCCATTGTAACTTCAGTCACAAAATGAATGGTTGTAAGTCAAGTACTACCTGTACTGGCAGCCATGCTCTGTGTCAGAACAATACTCTCTGCTCAGTTAATAATTATTCTAAATACTGCATGATTATGGTGAAGGCTGATATTGAAGACTGACTTTTGATACTATACATGCAAATATCCGTCAGATATTTTAATTTCTTAAGTGTGTTAAGGTAGAAGTTTGTGTAACCTGATTTTTTGTGCAAATTGGAAACTTATTAAAATGGCTACACAAGCTGGAGGATTTTTCACACACCCATACCCATATCCTTCCCCTCCTTATCATCCTTTCATCAATGAACTGCCATCATCATCATATAATGAAGGGGAAAGTTGCTTAAGTATGTTGGGAAATATGGCCACAAAACCATGCCAACATTCCTGGGGACTAATTAAGATCAGATGTTCATTGGTAAGATTGAATATCCATCCTTTTCTTAAGGCCAAAAATTTAACAATGAATGGGAGATTTAAGACTGTCTCCTTATACTACTCAGGTCATGTTGCTCCCACAGTCAGACCTTGAAACAAAACTGTATAGAGGACAGGAGCACTTTTGCTGAACCAAGACTATTGAGAGACTAAATACATAGCAACACACTGGACTCTAATAACTAGAAAGTCAAGGGGTCAATTTACCTTCCCAACTTTCATCATCAATCAAGGTGTTAAGATTGCCATAAGGCCCAGCAGCCAAGCTGATAAGTCTTATAAGTACTACATTCTAGCATATTTGGAAAGTATCTGGATGGGTGAGAAGGAGAGATTAATTGTGTCCATCAATCATTATATTACTGCAACCCAAACTACATGCAAAGGAAACTGATGAGTTGCAAACTGTTTCTGATGCAGAGGGTCTGCTCAAGGTGGAGATAAGGTGGGCAATGGCCTTAGCTTCATAGATGAAGGCTCACCTATCCAAAGTATGCTTATCTTTTGAACTGATCAAACTACTTCATACTAATCTAGACAAAGGGATGCGGTGGCTCAGTGGCTAAGACGCTGAGCTTGTCAGTCAGAAAGGTCAGCAGTTCGGCAGTTCAAATCCCTACACCACGTAATGGAGTGAGCTCCTGTTACTTGTCCCAGCTTCTGCCAACCTAGCAGTTCAAAAGCATGTAAAAATGCAAGTAAAAAAATAGGGACCACTTTGGTGGGAAGGTAACAGCATTCCATGCACCTTTGGCATTTAGGTCATACCGGCCACATGACCATGGAGACGTCTTCGGACAGCGCTGGCTCTTCAGCTTTGTAACGGACATGAGCACCACCCCCTAGAGCCAGAAACGATTAGCATGTATGTAGGCTTGACATGGGACTCGTGTCAGAGGCACCTGTGGTGGCCTAGTGCTAAGGCGGGACTTCACTGAGACTCACTCTCTTCCTCACTCTCATTATAATCTCCTTCCTTCCTTCTTCCTTCCCCTTTTCCTTATTTTTCCTTCCTTGCTCTCTTCCCATCTTCCCTTCTTTTTCTTTTTCTTTGTCTTTCCTCTTTCTCCTTTCCTGTCCCCCCTTGCATTCTCAAATGCAAAAGGGGAAACATTTCTCCTTTTGTTTTCAGTTTGTTTTGATAATTCTCTGCCAATGAAAATGGAGCCCGAGGGAGCACACGCTCCATTTTTGCTAGCAGAGGCACGGCGGGCTGGTCCTTTGCTGTTTCCAGGCTAGCCCTGTGGGCCAGATCTAAGCACCCCATGGGCTGGATCTGGCCCACGGGCCTTGAGTTTGACACCCATGAGCTAGATATCAAACTGAATTGCTAATACAGAGATTAAGCCACAATAGTAACAATTTGTCCTGAAGGTCCACTATACAAAATACTACATATTTCCTAATTAGAAAGCCAATTTGGTGTAGTGATTAAGGCATCAGGCTAGAAACTGAAAGATTGGGAATTCTAGTTCTACTTTTGGCATAAAGCCAGTTGGCTGACCTTGGGCCACCCATTCCCTCTCAGAAAGCGGGCAATGAACTCAAAAGTCAGCTTTGCCAAGGAGTGTTAATTTTATATCAAAGGCTGAGGAGCTTAGAACATTTGGAATGTGTGTGCCAAACTTACATGAATAATTTGAGAATCTGTAACACAGCAAGTTGTTCAAATTATATTGTAATTTGATAAAAGTATGTTGAGCAGCGGCTTGTTAGATCATGGTTTATTATGGATTACTTAGGTTTTTTTTCAGGTTAGTGGCCCTTTTGAAATTTTGAGCATGAGAAATGAGTGCTGCATACAAATGATGGCACAATTCAAACATCAAACTGGTGAGGCTAATAGGGTCACAAAAGTGGAAGGGATTACTCACAGTATTTATGAAGGGATTAAAGTCCACCCTGCTTCCCAATGCAGGAATCAAATTACAGCATCCCCTAAAAATGGCTAAGCCAGCATTTCTCAATCTTAGCAATGCTAAGATGCGTGGGCTTCAACGTGTCTTAATGTTGCCAAGGTTGAGAAACACTGATCTGATATATCCTTGGACAATCCAAGCAAATGTGAGTTCACTCCTTCTGTGGTTGTTTGGTTCTTATCATTGCTCTTAGTTGTTTTTATAAGTCTTTCTTAACATTTCACTAAAACCTGCCTTCCTGCAAAAGCTCAACCATTTGCTTTTGGAAAGCATTGTGCACAACTACACCTCAGGAGTGGGAGGCAATTGTGGACATCAACAAACTGCCTTTATTCCTCCTGCTGCTTATTTCAATACAGATTAATTCCAAGTTAGCATTTTTGGTTTTCTGTGCAGACATGGGCATTTTAACCTAAAAGGCAAGTCAGCCTCATTTTTTGTTCCCTTTGAATACATTCTATCCCATAATTGCCGAAATCCAGTCAAAAGACACCACTGCCCCTCAATTACATCTAGCAAATCACATTTGCCTTCCTTTAATATGAATTAAACATTTTCTTTTCAGTACTCTGTGCACTGACGCACACACCCCATTCAGGGAAGAGGGGGTAAATCTATTCCCCAAAGCACCTGAAGGCAGGAGAAACAGCAATGGATGGAAACTAATCAAGGAGTGAACCCTAGAACTAAGGAGAACTTTCCTGACTGCGAAAACAATTTATCAGTGGAATGAGTTGCCTCCAGAAATTGTGGGTGCTCTAACACTGGAGATTCTTAAGAACAGATTGGACAACCATTTGTGTGAAATGGTATAGGATCTGGAGGTTAGACCAGATCTCCAAGGTCCTTTCTAACTCTGTTATTCCATTCATTAGCATATAGACAATGAATGCTGTGCCTTTTTATAAACCGATTTCTGATTTTCACTGGTGGGTTAATAGGCCCTTAAAGTTACTCTCTCAGTTAATCTTTTTCTGGGTTTCCTCCATCTTCCAGATTGGGTTTGATATTCTTTGCTCAAGCACACTTTTCCCAGTCTTCCTAAAATGCAAATAATTTCATGCCAACCATTTATCGTCTGCATAACATAAACCATATTCTCAGAAATCATGTTTTTCTGATACCATTTTTATTGTTGGTAATTCAAATGGCAGTATGTTTTCACTTTCTACTTCTCTTCTATGAATTGGAAGGAAAGATGACACAACCAGCAGTGCTCACAGATTTTTCACTTTTCTTCCATAGCTTCAAAGTCCAAGATAAATGAGCTGTTTTGATGGCATCAAGAGAGAATGCCTGAATGTCTGTGATAAGCCAGCTGCTTTGTCACATCCATCTACTACACATCTGAGAAACAGTATTTTCTAAACCAGCAGATCTGGTACATATTATTGTGTATTCCTTTTAGCAGGGAGTCACAAATTATTACAATTGCCCTATTGATCCTTCTACAGGTGTATCCTTTCCTCTTTCCTCCAGTCTTTCATCTTAAGCACTTGTCTCTTCCCTACAAACTCAAAGCCTTTTTTTAAAATGAAAACCTGAACATTATTTTTAATGGGGGAAAATTTCTTCACAAGATCCTTTCTGGCAATTGCTCTCATCCATTTGACTTAATTGCTTATCTCTCTTCCTTGTGGAACACTGCAACTTGTATCTACTCTTAAGTGGATTTCCTAGCTTTGGCTCAAGAAATCTTCATTCTTTTATCAGCTGATAAAAGCTCTTGCTCTGATCCCCCCCCCCCCTAAAATACAGCTAGTGAGTCTACATTTGCAGCATACATTTACTTTGTGGTTTTCAGGTAGAACACAAATATCCCAGATATTGCAGATAAGGAAGGACTGCACAGTCAACTCCATTCAATAGCTCTTCCATTCTTTGCATGATTCACTGGATTTAATGATCTCCCACACCTAAACTTTATCACAAAACTCTTGCTAACCATTTTATTTACTTGCTCGTTAAGCTCACTTTCTGAACATTTCCATTTTTTTCTACAGCTTCCTCCTTAAGAACCAATAGTTGTAGCACCTACAATAAACAGTGCTTCTCATTACCCCATCTCTTAGGTTGCTCCCTACTCAGCACTGTTTTTTTTTCCCCCCTGGGCAGATAGGTATATGTCAAAATAAAGTTCAAGGCCACAATTACTCAACCTTTTCCTTATTTATTTTTTAAACTACCAAAGAATTCTCTTTAGAAATAACAGCCATGCAGATGACCACATGATTGTGACCTTTCTATTTAAAATGCAGATACTTTAAAAGAAAAAGAAAAGGCTGGCAGAAGGGTTGAGGCCCAAAGGATTCCAGGTTTATTGAACAGTACTCCAGTTATCCTGAGTTCACAGCACCCACTAAACCATTAACCATATTTGCAATAGCCAATGAAAATGTTAACAGCTTAATACATTAAATCAGTTTAAACTCCTTCCAGATTATCTGTCCTGTTTAGGTGAGAAGAAAAGAGTTTGTCCATGTGTATGGCAGGTCTACAGGTTGTCTTCAACTTACAGCAGTTCATTTAGTGACAACAGCAATGAAAAAAGTGACGTATGACTGTTTTTCACACTTACAAGAGTGGTAGCATGTCCCATGGTCATGTGATCGAAATTCAGGCCCTTGGCAACTGGTTCGTAGTTATGATGGTTGCAGTGTCCTGGAGTCATGCAATCACTGCTTTTGACAAGCAAAGTCAATGGGGAAGCCAGATTTACTTAACAACCGGGTTACTAACTTAACCAGTGCAGTGATTCACTTAACTGTGGCAAGATAGATCGTAAAGTGGGGCAATTCACTTAGCAAATGTCTCACTTAGCAATGGAAATTTGGGGCTCAATTGTGGCCGTAAGTTGAGGACTACCTGTATTTGCAAAAAGCCTCTTCCCTTCTTTTGAAGACATTTAAGTACCGAGAATCAGAATCAGCAATGCAGTTCCCTTTTAGTGTCTCATGTAGATGCTACAACTGGCTTGTCACACCCACTGCCCACGGGCTGCATGCATCCCCAAGGACTCCAAAACAAAGAAAGCTTGTCATTTAGATACATTAACCATATTATATATTTCATACATGGCCCAAGACAATTCCTCTTCATTCAATGCAGCCCAGGCAAGCCAAAAAGTTGGACACGCCTCTGCTGCAACAGACATAGTTCTGACCTTCTGAAACAAAAGTTGAGATTTCTGCTGATTTCCTGTTTTTCCAGGTAGAAAAACCCATTCACTTTGAGTACAAATGCTGAGAGTGTCAGCGTTTATTTTTAAAGTAACACACTGTTAACAGACATTTGTAGTCACCAGAGAGCTGGAAGAAATAAAGCATTGGGGCAATATTAGCACAATTTGCAAGAGCAAACAGTAGCTGAAGACTGGCAGATGTGAGGCTTCAGAGATTCTTACCTCCTAATTCTTTCAATTACACAATCCATAATAAATTATCTAAAAATTGCAGAAAGACGTGTAAAAAATAATATGCATGTGCATTTCTTTCTAAAACCGTAAGGTTTTTCTGGCTACATAATCTCCTTTTTTAAGTGCAGAGTATATTTAGCCCTGAGTATTATGTGGATGGGTCTTTATTTTCAGAAATTGAACTTGTGCAAAGACAAAATCTTAATCTCTCTCTCTCTCTCATGCTGTTATATCAGGAAGCATGCACCTTATGAGTTATGAGACTGCAGCAGTGCTGCAAAGTGCCTAACATCACAACTACCCTACTATCTAACATAGACTGCAAAAGAGATTCTTTGTACTATTTGTACTATTTTTAAAATACAAGCCATCATAGGGCAGTAGTTAACTGGCTAGCAGGTAAAGTTTAAATAGCCCCTGAGCAATTGCAAGATACTTCCAGTCCATCTCTGTCCATGCTTCCCCTTACAAATTGTAGCGGAGGCCAATTATTGTGCAACTTTTTAAGGGCAGAATTCCAAGATTCCAGAGCTACAGAATTGCTTCGGGGGTTGAATACAGCAAATGACCCTTTCACACCCAAGGGCTGTGCTGATCTGAGATTTGTGCTAGTCCTTACGGGGAACTTATAGGCTCAGTAGATGCTATGGAGGAAACATTGCCGTGGCAGCTGTGCATTGTCTTCTCTGGGTTTACGGAGCAGCCCATTTCCCATTGGTGGGATCTCCTACCTTATCCTGCCTTCCATTTCTTGACTTTCCCCCTTTCCCTCTACCCAAAGTACCATGGCGCGTTGCCATGCTATCTCATGCTTTCCCGAGAGGCACTGCTGCTCCTCACAAATAATGGCTGGCTTTGGTTTCGTGGCATGAGAAGAAGGAGGGTGGGCTGGGAGGAGCTAGTTTGCCAGGCACCAATGGCCAGCTAGGAGGAGACAGAGTGAAGCACAGGGAAGCGTCTGTTGAAGATTTGAGGAGCAAGTCAGGCGGCTGCATGGAAGGGTCCAAAGAAGCTCGGATCGTGACTAATCCAGACTCTTTTCTTTTTACAGAAGCTCAGGCTCTCCCATATTCTCTTATTGTTGCTTCCTGGAAAAATCCAGGCAGAGAATCCAGACAGTGGCAGGGGAAACAATGGGGACGCCGCAGTGACAGTCCTCATCTGCCTGTTGTTTCTGCTGCTGCTGGTGCTATGTATAGCATGGCACTATTTGAACCGTGTAACAGAAGGAAGGTACCACCCTAGGCACCTGATGAGTAACCTGGTTCTTTGGTGGCAACAGTTCCGGAGGGAGACACTTTCTGAGGACCTGGCTGAGGACTACCAGGATGAGGAACAGAATGATGGAGAGCTTGAGGAAGAGCGACAACAGCATGTGGAGGATGGAGGAGAAGAAGAAGATGAGGAGATGGAGGAGGAGGAGAAAAAGCAGCTCCTTCAGGAGGAAGAAGAGAAGCTGACCAAGGAAGCCAATGAAGAGGCAGCATTGGAGGAGGCCTTGGAAGAAGGTGAAGTGTCAAAGGCAGCCCAGGGCAGCGCAGAAGTTCTACTGAGTCAGCTGCATTCCTTCTCTGGAACGGCATCCTGGGAAGACAGTGGCAAATCACTGAGCGACACTGCTCTCTAGAAATCCCAGGGAGGAAGGAAGGAGGGACTTGTCACAAACAAGCTTCTAATGCTGGGTACCATATCCACATATGAGAAACCCAAGACTGCTGTCACTCTGCTTTGTACACTGCTTCCATTGGGAGCAGCACTGTCTGTATGGTTGCATTTGCTTCTTCTAACCTGTTCCAAAAAGCTTGTTGTCAAACAAAAAAAGGCATATGCCCTGAAACAATAAAACAGAGAACCGATGGCTGTATCTCAGTAGTTGATTTTGTAATTGGGCTGGCAAAAACAAAAAACAAAACCCCCTACCTCTCTTTGCTTAGTATTTGCTTAGTATTTCTCTGTGCAACAATTCCTACAACCAACAATTTTTTTCTATGCGGCACAACACTCATTTCCTGAATATGAGCCAGGAATGACATCGTGCCATTTGCGAAGATTCATTTGTGGCTAAGGGCACCACTATTTCAGAGAAGGTCAACAGCAGTTCTGGGCGAGCACTTATCTTGCAACAACCACCACCGTGGGAGAGGTGGTCATTTTTGGCAAAGGGAGGCAGGTTGGAAAAAGAAGACAGGTAAAAAGAAGCTTCACCCTGAAGAAGCAGTCTGGTCCTTTCTTCCACTTCCTCAAGAGTTGCTTTGTTTCCTTGACAGGGTCCTGAGCTTTCAACTAGAGCAGCCACGATATGAGCCAGAGCGTGTGCTTTTTCCTCTGGGCTCTGCAAAATTTCAAGAGGCACTCAGACAAATGTTCCTAGGGCGATAATAAGGCAGACTTCTGCTGCTCGCAACTCCTTTGTGCTTCCCAAATTATTCTCTTCCCTCCAGGATTCATTGTAGATCGAACTAAAAGCACCATGGCTGAGTTAGTCCTGACGTCAAGGAAGCACCAACATCAGGTGTCCCTTTCTCGCTGGGAGAGAAGGTGGCCCTGTGAAGTGAAAGGGAAAATTGAGACTTCCAGTTAGGGCCCCATAGACACCATCTAGTCCACCCACTGCCACACACTCCAGTGCTCCACCTGATGATGAAAATCCAGAGGTCTCTTTGCTGCCCCAATTATCGTGCCCGCCCTCGGCCTTTCTTCTTTTTCGTGCCTGAAGGCGTTTTGATGGGCAGCGGAGCCGTGACTTCTAGTACAGGCCCAAGAGGGGTTGCTGACAGCTCCATTAACTCTACTGTTGTGCTTGGCTTGAAGGGCTCAAAGGGTGAGAACTTCAATGGGCTGCATAAAAACAAGGACAGGTTAGAGCTGGGTCATTTAAAGTCTTGCTTGGGGCTCTGGTATCTGGACAGAAGAGCAAACCGTAGCCTTAGAGACAGCATTCCCCTTGGGGAAGCAAGGACTCAGCAGGCACCACAGCCTTCCTGCAGCCAGCCCCTTGAGGAACATGCCCCGAAGAGCTAGACCAGGGATCCCCAAACCTGGCAACTTTAAGACTTGTGGACTTCAACTCCCAGCATTCTCCAGCCAGCGAATGCTGGAAGTTAAAGTCCACAAGTCTTAAAGTGCCATGTTTGGAGACCTCTGATCTAGGCTTTCTCCCAACTTTCTGTCTCCAGATTTACCTGACAGGTGTGCGGGGGCTGCTGTTGAGACGCCGTGGAGATCGCACCTTGGGTTGGAAGGAAAACCCTTCCTTGATACTTTCCAACACAGATGGAGCTACGTAGGTAAACCCCTAGGGGAAGAACACCCAGTCAGTGTTGCTATGGTCATAATTTCACTTCAGGAGCTGGGATTCAATTATGTTCTTTCTTTCGATCAACAAATGAGAAATTGGTGGCCTTGCCAAGGTTGCAAGCGACAGTTCTCAGCAACCCCTGCTAATGTGGTCAATAATGGTTGCTGAAAGTTGTTAGTTCAATCACCTGGAATGCCCTAAGTTCCCCATTTAATTTCTACATCAAAAGTTAGAATCAGCTGCTGGATTCAGCCTAGGTTCCCTTCAAGCCCCCCTTGCACGAAACATATACTTTAAAATGCTTTTTATTTTTGATCTGCCTGTTTGCTAGGAGAGGATCCTCTTTAAGACTGCAGTTGGCCAGGGTGGCTAAGAAGAGTTAACTCCCAAGCCAGCTGTCTATGGAGATTCTCAGTCACCCAGGTCATAGTTGTTCTTTCAAAAGGCAACTGGACTTGCTTTGTTTTCCTTGAAGATGTTTCACTTCTCCTCCAAGAAGTTTCTTCAGTTCTGACCGAGTTGCCTTTTCAAAAAAAAAAACCCAACACCTTTGGGATCACAAGCCAGCTCTTAAGAAAGCTTTTTTTTTCCAAGCAGCAAGTGGTTGCTATCTAAGACTTTTTTCAAAAAGTTGGGAGTCACCATTTAATTTTTGCACTGGTCTTTATCCTTAGCTGGCACGTGGTCCCCAAAGGTTAGTCATAGGGAAAGGAGGAACCTGGGATGAAGAAGGCTCTCCCCACTGCTTTGTTAATAGGGTTGTAAACAAGGTTTTGCTACCTCCTCTTCCTTCTCACTGTAGTTCCAGCTGGTTATTCCTTACCAGGAAAGCCTGATTGGCACTCTCGCTGAGAGATCCATCGTCAGGACTATCCACAGGTGTCTGGCGAGTGAAGCGGGTATCAAACTGGCTGACATCATCTTCTGATTGCTGTGGATGGAAAAAGATGTTCTGGATATCTCATCATGCTATTATCATATAGCTTTTTGGTTATGGGTGAATTCTAGCCCATGTTAACATCTACACAAATGAAGGCCTTTCTTTTTCCAGAAATTTTGTGGAGGTTTCTGAAAAAAGAAAAAAAAGCATTGTTAGCACATGATGTAAAGGAGCTGTATAACAGGGCTGTCAAAGTCTCGGCCCACAGACCAGATGCATCTTGTCCTGGCCACGCACACGCCTGATTTAGCGAAGTGGGGGGAAAAGTCCTAATATGTCACGTGATGACACCCCTGCTGTACAATAAGATGATATCATACAGTTGTACTTATCTAAGAGAGATAAATAGATTTTACACTGAGGGTAGAACTAAACAGGTTTAAAGTGTAATGAAAATTTGCACAACAGTGTAAAATAATCAAAGAAGCATGTGAAGTGGGCAGGTGTTAGCTTGTTTGGATTTTCTTTGCACAATAAATAAATATAGCCACTGCAGATTATTAGAAGGAAGCAACTCAGATTGAGTAGCTACTCTATTCCATTTCTGCAGCTTTGTCATGACTCCATCCCAAGATTATACTTCAGAAATCTGGCAACAAAAGCAATGAAACTCCGATTTTCACCAAGAAAATGGTGGAAAAGAGTTGAAAATTGTGAGATAAAACAATATTAGCTCCTGGTACAAAAGGACTAGGCTTAGCAATATATGAGAACTAGGCAAATGATGCTTATTTATACCAGAAAACCTCTTTATGTGAAATGAAAATCCAATAAAAGCCTCATCCAATTTAGCAGTCCTTAACCTTCTTTCATTATATATGCTACAAATCAAGACCAAGATTCTGAGAAGGCCTATTTATGGTCAGGGACAAGACCATAAAATAGAGAAAAGGCAGCAATAGGGACTGAAATGTGGTCACTTTACCAAAGATGGCCGAAATGGAGGGTCAACTCTTCTGGCCAACAAGTCATCCCAGTTAATGTGTCGGAAGAATGGGTGTTTCTAAAAGAGAAAATAAAGACTTTAATACTATCTAAAACACATGAAGAATCCTCAAACACATACTATAGTTCTCATATTCCAAATCTCAAATTTCTACAAAATTACAGACGTTCTACACTTAAAAAGGCACTGATATTCACTTCTAATATCAAAAAAATTCTCCATCTCCCCTCCCCCTGGTTTACAGCTGAAGAGAGCAATTACTTTAATTGTTTTAAGCATTGAATTATGGTTTAGAGAAAGAACAATGCAAGGTGCTGATGCCCTGCCTTCTTTCGAAAAGCCTGATGGGGCGATAGCACCTTTGCCAAAATCACCTTCAGATTTTAACTTGCTCGTCAAAAATTCCAAATTCTTGGACATATTAAGAGAAAACCTGTTCCCCTCTCCAGCAATCCACTTTACCTGAACATCTCCAGCATCACCTGGCCCACCTCCAATTCGTTGATTGGGGTTCCTTTTGAGAAACTAGGGAAGGAAAGAGCCATGTTTTGAGAAATGCTGCTTCGGATAATGCCAAAAGGACAAATCAGTCTTTGAGAACTCAAGAATTCACAGTTCAAATTTTTTCCACTAGGACAGCTTCACTGTAACCTCAATTTCATCCTGATTCAGGATATTATTCACCACAGAACTGGCTTAGCTGGATCTCTTTCCACACAGAGGTGCTCACCCAGCCCTGCCCTCACGGTAAAGGCCCCATTCCTATTCTGGCAAGAGATGCAAGTCATCGGCCCCACTGCATTCCACTGAGATGGGGCTCCACATCCTTCTTTGCAGCCCACCTTTGAGCACCATTCAGTACAGATAGTCCTCACTCAACAACTCTAAATGGGACTGTAAACTCCACACACTAAGTGGCACAGTCATAAAGTGAAATATCACAAGATTGCACCTCACTGAAGACATCCGTTCCAGCTGTGGTCCTGAAGCAAATAAGCTGCGGCTATTAAACACAACGCCACATGATTTCAACTTCTGACTTTCTCGTTGACTTTACTTGTGGGAAGCCAGCTGTGAAGGTCGCCAATGGGCAATCACAAGACCACAGGAGCTACGCCTGTTTTGAAAGCGTGTGCCAATTGCCAAGCGCTCAAATTGCGATCATGTGGCTACAGGGATGACTGCAACTTTGAGGACTGGTCATCAGTTTCTTTTTCTCAGCTCCATCCCAACTTCAAAGGGCCACTGAACAAGCAGTCGGTAAGTGAGGACTATTTGTAACCCAATGTGCTTTGCCACTGGCCTGCTACCTCTTTCCGTCCAGCCTGGGCCAAGTAGAGCAAGTAGGTGAATGTAAGTTGAGCAGGGCTACTCTAGTGCTGTAAATGGTTCCTTCTTCTGAGTATTGTTGATGAGAGACCAGGGCTTCCTCCCTTCTCTATTCTCAGCTCAGGGTAATAAAACAAATAGGCCACTAAAAGGCAAGAGCAGCTAACTATACTTTTATAGGAAAGAAGGAACCAGAAAGCCAGCTGTGCTTACTCCAAGTTCAGGAAAAGGTGACCAGTGCATTTTGGGCGTACTCACATTTAAGCAAAAGAATGGCAAATCATGCACTGAAAGATGTGATAGGAAGG